AATAATTTTCACCACATTAAATAGCTGCACATCACCCTAATTGCCGAAAAAGCGTTGCTTGCAACACTAGTCCTTTATGGGGACCAAATTTGGTGAAAAAAAACAGCTAAGTTTGTTTACTGGATATACTGAAGAATAAATTATTCATACCATATTAAAATATAAGATGAATACCTTTGAGGAGCTAAGTGATGTCGAATTGAGGCAGAAATTATTAGTCCTTGGATATCCTAAAATACCTATCACAGAGACTACGCGTGGTATACTCATAAATAAATTACGAAAAAACTTCAAATCCAACTCTATGCTGTCACACCGTAGGAATCCTGGTCAGATGTCTAAACATGATTTGCCAATGACTCGGCGCATATATAATATTAAGTCCACAGTTAAGGAAGAAATGCAGACCGCTAACTGCACTGAACATAAATATAATCGCACTCTTAAAGAGTACTTGCCTTTTACTGTGAGTGGCCTGCAACATACTGATCATTTATATTCACCTACGACGGATTTTATTCTAAGTTCGCCAGAAACGAATGTTTCCAATACCTCCTGCAAAGAATCTCATTTAGGAGTTGTAAGCAGATTATTGAGTTTCCGGGAAAAAACGTTTCGAAAACCAAAAGCATGTGAACATAATTTCCAAACACTTCTGTCGTTACCAAAAGAAACTAACAAATATCTCAGCAAATCAAAGAGGACGATGTGTGATTTTTTATCGTATATAAGCACTCAATCCCTGCTAAATCAAAGCTTTAAACCTTGCGTGCTAGTTGGAACGTTCATAGTATTTTTTATTTGCTTGGGATTAATTTACATATTTCAAAGTCCAAAGCATTTGCAAACTTACAATTTCGTAAGTCAAATACCGGTATGCGATGGTACCTTCACAACAGATGATTGTTTGTCTCCAGTCGACGCGGATATTGCAATTAATTTAATAGCGGAAATTGAGAAAACCCTTAAAATTCGTTCTAAAAAGTATGAATGTAACAATAAAAAAACTTCAATTAGCGAAGCAGAGCTCATAAATTATATGGAAACAATGGGCCATAATTACAATGTGCACACTTGGAGGAAACATTTGATACATGCGAGATTTCTTATAAAGCAAAACCCTCAGTGGAATATAGCAACAACAGATGGGGAAAACTACAAATTTTTAATAGTAAATCCTGTATTTTGCTTTTTGGTCACAAAGCTTCAAAGTTTCTTTGTGATTATTGGTATAGGAGCTATAATTGCTCTACTGTCTGGAATAAGCTATACAATATATCGTTACATCAGGGCTTGGCGAGTGAATCGTTCTAATATTATTGAACAGTTCACTACAGACATTGTAAACGAACTCATTTATAGAGCTTCTCTTAGCGAAACTCCAGAAGAACGTGAAGTGATTATAATTCATTTGCGTGATAAACTGATTCCTTTTAAGAAACGAAGCACTCATTTAAAATTTTGGAAAGAAGCATTACAAATTTTAGATGCAACAGATAGCCGAATACAATTTGGTGTAAAAAATGTGGATGGAGAAGATTATCGAACAATGAAATGGATAGGTAATGCAAATGGTAATACTCGAGCAAATGGGCTTCTTAAGAAATGGCAAAGTCCAGCATTCGATTGCGCAAATAAAATTGATAACCCACCTACTTCATGTTTAAAAATTCGGCATATGTTTGACTCCTCAGAAGTCAACATTCCGAATTTGAAACAAATAATAGAAGCAGCTCTAATAGAGAAAGTGGGAACTCGTTGTTGTATTCAAGATATCCAGATTGATAAACAAAGTTGCTGTGTTTATGTTCGATGTGGTAGTGAGATTGATGCTGGTATAATACATAATGAGATTAATGGCTGGTGGTTCGACAAACGTTTAATATCGATTAAATTCTTACGACTACAGCGGTATCTAGCACGTTTTCCGAACAGTGTGGGCTTAGATTCCTAAGTAAAACAACAGCCTGTTGACTTTTGTATTTAAATACATTTATTGTAATTATCCTTTTATTTAATTTGAATGAAAAAAACGGCAGTTAAACGAAGCAGCGAATATCGTCTGCCTTACTAAATAATATGATCCGTAAAATATTTTAATTTTCTAAATAAAATGTAATTAATTATAAATATTTTTCATAGTTCGTAGATCCTGCGCGTTTAAAGGGGGATACACGACATCAGCTTACTGGCGTCATCAAGGGATTGTAAAATCAAGCTCGAAGCATAGAACATACCAGCATGCTGGTACAATATTTATTTCTTTACAAATGAAGTCCGGAAAAGATCGAAATGAGTTCCGAAACCTTATAAATTTTATACAATTTTGTTAAACATTAGTTTTTTAAATTTACTATTGCAATATTGTGAAATTTAATCTTACACAAACACGGTTTTGGCACATATAGTGCAAGAAATTTCCGCCAAAATAAGTTTTAGGCTGTGCGAATCGGTAAGATTTTTCTCCGTGGTGAGACGGCGTAGACAACTTTTCTATGGTGTACAAATAAATTGGCCCGTAGTTATAGTCAAAGTAAAATTGACTCTAAAGTTAAAAGCAGTTTGTTGCCATAACTTTCAAGAGGATATCTGTCAAAAAAACTTGTTTTTAACTTTAGAGTAGACTTTATATTGACTAGAGCTACGGGCCATTGAATTTTTATTTTTATTTTTTGTATGATCCGAGTTCAATCCTCGGCAACGAATTTTTTAAAAACCGGGTTTTAAGCTTTATTGCTTAAAAAATTCATATTTTTTTATCTTATTTAACGTTTGGAAACTTTTTTATCCATCTTTTTTCTTTCACTTTAAGTTTCTTAAATTTTTAGTTGTTCCTGTTTTAAAAAAATGTTTTTTTCATTTCGCTTAGTTTTTAGAAAACTTATTGCTAAAAGATAAATATAATAATACTATGAGCACATCTTTCAATAGGTTTGTTCGTCGAAAATCCAGCAAGATTTATCCAACACTCAAAATATCAGAGAGTAAGAAAAAATTCTCTCAAAATCTCTCTCATGTTGAGAAACTTGCAAATTTCTGCACGAACGCAAATTTGCAGGAATTTGCAAGTTTCCCTGCCAGCTGGCGTTCACAGTTGCATTTCAAACAAAAAATTTTTATAGAATTTTAAAATTCGTTCGGATGGCCAAAAACAGGATATACATGTATATTTCTTGTTGTTCTGACTTTCTTTAACATACATTTCAATTTCTTCTTCGTACTAGCTGTCGGGTTTCTTAAATCGACTCTGGTTGCTATTGCATTCCGATTGCGAATACCATTTTTTTTTCAGCCGAATTAAGTTCAAATCATTGGAATTAACTAAATTAATTATATCAACAATTACTTACTTCCTTGTTTCTTAAAAAAAACGCAAAATGGCAAAATTTTTTCCAGCAAGAATTTGCAACTTCTCTCGAAGAGAACTGTCACTTTGCTCTCACAATTTTTGAGTGTTGGATAATTTTTTGGTCTGCACGAACGCGATTTGGGCAAAAATCGTGATAATTCGTACAAATTCGTAAAAATTTTTTGCTCGACGCACAAACCTAATTAGTTATTCGAAATACAGAAAAGGGCTTTCAGCCGAAATATAAAGACTTTTGTCTCGAAAGACTGAGGTGGGTTGAAAGACAGATGCCAGAATTGGCCTGTTATTGATCTTGTTTGTCTTTTAGCAAACAATTTAATTAACACCCCTATTCTGCAACACTTTCGTATTCGGATTTTGCTACGAATCGTAGGAATGGTATGCTGCAATCTGAATCGTATCTTCGAAATTCGTAACAATGGCATGCCTAAAAACGAACGAGCAAGCTTTTTTGCGTAATTTTGTAGGAAAACAATTCTGTGTCGGAGGCGAGATAAAAGATGTAAATCGATGTGTGTTTTCAGGAAATATTAGTTGCGTTCATTTAAAATGATAAATTTGCATTTTGCATATACGTATATTTTTATCCACTACTTTATATAAACGAGCAAACAAGAATCTTTGTTGCCCCTTATCGAGAAACCTGGGTCCGGTTGAGTTATTTGAACAATAATTTTCGGTTGTTATGTCCAAACGCATAACCCGAATCTAAAAACTTTAACATACACGTGTAATCAAGGATTAAACCTTTATTTAAAATAAATGTTTCAAATTATTAATAAATTCGGTTTGCACTACGCACTTTTTTGCAAATTTCGATGTGGGTTCTGCGCAAAAATACTGTGATATGCACAAGAAATATTGTATACCTTTGACATTCGGTAGCCCCTCTTCTCCGGCAACGCAGACCCCCACTAGAAAGAGGACAGTCGCCGCTTTCTAAAAAGGCGACCCCCCCTTGGGCTCCTCCCACAGGCCCCTAGAGAACCGTTTGAAAAAGGGGGAGAAACGGAATTTTCTTAGGCAAGCAGCAGTTTGAAGGGGGGTTGATCACCTTTTGCAGAGAACACCTTTATGCGTAGGCGGCTTTCGGCCGCACTTAGGGATTATAACCCTCAGGCAGTAGAATTCTCCTGTGTTGCCAAAGAAGGGGGCTGATCACCTTTTGCAGAGAACACCTTTCTGTGTAGGCGGCCTTCGGCCGCACTTAGGGATTATAACCCTCAAGCAGTAGAATTCTCCTTTCTGTTTTGCGAAGAAAAGGAGCTGAACACCTTTGCATATTTTTAATGCTTACTGGGTTATATCCTATCTTTTGCAGATTTTGGAGTTTGACAGCTGAACTCCGCCATTTAATTGCATATGCAACCAAAGTCAGACGCATGATTTAGAAGGTGTTTTTATTTAATAAATTGCGATTAATTGGTTAATATTAAAGTCATAAAGAAAGTTATAACTCATCGAGTAAAGTGTAAAGTGAAGGAGAATATAAAACTATATTGGTGAAGTGGCTGCTTTAAGGAGAATAGGATTGTAAATGTACGCTTATTTCCGAATTTTACAAAAAATTACATATTTAATAAATTAGTGACCAAAAATTACAAAAGTGGATGTTAAAATAATAGGTGCAATCCCGTATTCCTCGGACTCGGACTAGTTAAACTGTCAAAAAATAAAAATTCGCTCAGAGCGAGAGAGTAACATTGAAAAGTACGGGATCGCTTTCTAGTAAAAAATGGTAACTTCTGTCAACTTCAACATAACCTCCAAATTTTGGTACCCGGGAGCGCTACTAAACCCCACCCATTTTTTTAGTTCCTTTCCACTTTGTTTCCCTTCATACAGCTGAGTTCGAAAAACAACTGATACCTGGCAAGGGTTGGTTTTCCTTTATGACCGTTCGTTAAAGGGGCGACGGGCGAAAGGTAAGTGGACGTGACACTTCTAACCCACCTCTTTAAAGAGTGAATGAACTGTCATTGACAAAAATGCAGTCCCCGACCACCTAGGTCCCCTACTGTTTCCTTATGGACCCCTTAAAAAAATTGCCAAAAATCACAATTTTCATTTGCGTTTATTCGCTTGAAAAATGTTAAATATTCATTTGCACAATACATTTTTATATACACATTTTTATATACAAGACATTTTTATAAAACACCCAGTATAGACATCACTGGGGCGGCAGCCCCAGGTTTACCACACAGAAAGGGAATTCTAGTTACCTCATCCTTTTCCAAGGTTACATCACTGGGGCGGTAGCCCCTGTTAGGTGCACACAGAATGGAGAATTCTACGTAGTAAGTGTTATAATCCCTAAGCGCGGCCGAAGGCCGCCTACGCAGAAAGGAGTTCTGCGCAAAAATACTGTGGATGGAAGTAAAAATTGCGATTTTTGGCAATTTTTCTAAGGGGTCCGTAGGGAACCAGGGGGGCCTAGGTGGTGGGGGTTGCATTTTTGTCAATGGCAGTTCATGCCCTCTCCAAAAAGGTCGGTTGGAGGTGCCACGCCCACTCCCCCTTCCCCCACCACACCTTTAACGAACGGCCATAATGGAAAGTTCCCCCCCCTGGCAATGCGGCTCATTTTTCCACAAGGGTTGCGGCATGTCAATTTTTCGTTTTTCGTAACGTAGCTACGAATTACGAATTACGAAAATTCGGTTTCTGGAATAAGGGTGTAAAATAAAAAAAGTTGTTTCCTTTTTTAAAGAAAAAAAATCTATGAATAAAAAAAGGAACAGTCCAGCGCCTTCGTCTTGGCCTGCAGGCTGTATCGGAGATACAGCCGCTAAATTTAAACGTAGAATACGTGGTATGGTTAAGAGCATATCCAAGTAAAAAAAACAAAAGCACACACTAAGCAAAAAATATCGATAACAAAAGCGATAATAATATCGGTAGCAAAATCGATAAAAACATCGATAAAGAAATCGATGAAAATATTGATATCAAAATCGAAAAAATATCGATAGCAAAATCGATAACAATACTGATTACAAAATCGATTACAAAATCTATCAAAATATCGATTACAAAATCGATAACAAAGTCGATAACAAAATCCATAACAAAATCCATAAAAATATCGATACCAATATCGATAGCAACATCAATAAAAATATCGAATATAAAACCTATAAAAAAATCTATAACAATATCGATAGCAAAATCGATAAAAATATCGGTAACAAAACCGATAAGAGTATCGATGACAAAATCGATAGCAAAATCGATTACACAATCGATAACAAAATCGATAAAAAATATCGATAACAAAATCGATAAAAGTATCGATCATTATATCGGTAAGTTCCGAAAATATCGATAGCAAAACCAATAACAATATCGATAACAAATTCGATGAAAATATCGATAACGAAAGCAGTAATAATATCGATAGCTAAATCGTAAACAAAATCAATAAAAATATCGATGACAAAACCGGTAAAAATATCGATTACAAAATCGATTAAAATACCGACAACAAAATCTATAAAAATATTGGTAATAAAATCGATAACAAAATCGATAAAAATATCCATAACAAAATCGATAAATAATCTATCATAAAATCGATTACAGTGTCGATAACAAAATCGACAACAAAGTCAACAAAATATCTATAACAAAATCGAGAAAAAATATCGATAACAAAATCGAAAAAATACCGATCATTATATCGATAAGTTCCGAAAATATCGATAGCAAAATCAATAACATTATCGATAAAAATTTCGATAGCAAAATCGATAAAAACATCGGTAATAAAACCGACAAAGTATCGATTATTATACCGATAAACCCCGAAATATGTACTTACGGACACATACATACATACTTTTTGTCTCCTTCCCACGCTTCCAATGCGTGCACGTGTTTGCAAAATGATGACGA